TGAAATCACCTAGGACAAATAAAACCAAAACTGCATTGTAAAACAGAACAAACCCATCCTCATATAAATTAGAAATCTAATTGAGTTTAGAGTAAGGAATTAATTCAGCTTGACTCTTCAAATTATGTCATAAGTTAATTCCTTGTTTTACAGAGAAAAACCAAAAAAAACCTAAATTTTAAATCACAGGTTCTCAACCTTTGTTCCACACTGAAATCACCTGCGGAGCTTAAAATACTGATACCTGGGCTGCACCCCCAAAGATTTTGATTACTTGGTTTAAGGTAGGTTTAGGCACAGGGACATTTGAAAGAAGCGCTGCCCTCCCACACACCAGTTATTCTAATGAGTAAAGGTTGAGAACCACTGCTTTAAGACAATATTTTCAACGTACAGTCTTGGTGGGTTTAACAATGACATGAAAACATCAATAGTAAAGAACTGGTTTAAGATTATGACAATTGCACTGAACTGAATACAACACTTGGTGGTAAGACAATGAGAGGAAACATAACTAATGGTGGGAGTTTAAACTGGTTGCACTCTTCATAGGGCAATGTGGCAATAAGAATCAAAGCCTTATATTTACATTCTTTGGCCTAATGATTTTGCATTTAGAAATTTAGCTTAAGGAAATCTGTAAAACACTCAAAGATTCAGGTGTGAGGATGTTAATCCAACTACCAACAACAGGAGATTGGTTAAATAATTACGAATATTATATAGCCATAAAAAATCATGTTTTAGAAGAAAATTAAATGGCACAGGAAAATTCTTGCAAGTTTTAAAGGGAAAAAAGCATTTGCAAAATGGAATTGTTCACCATTTCTTAACTTAGGTCCATATGCTGAGTTTCAGGCAGCTGATGATATATGACAAATGACACGTATCATTTTGTGTTGTGTGGATATGTGTGTGAGAGGCAGAAGAAAGGAGATAGGAAGATTTCTCCTGGGAGTGGTTTCTAAGATTTCATCAGATTCTCAAAAGATGTTCCTAACAGGCTGAAGAATCACACTACACAGTAAGAACCCTATTTTGAAATAAATAAGTACTAACACTTACTGAGCTCTTAAAATGTAAAAGGCACTGTGCTAAATGAATGGACATTAACTCTGATACTCAGAACATTATGAAGTAGGTATTGCTCTGATTTTTCTCACCTTACAAATTCCCTGTCACATTTCTTTGAGGGTGATTGCTTTTATTTATTCTATAAATTGAAACCAGTTGAAAGGTCATTCTCTTTGCCCTAGTTCTGGGAATTTTAAGGAAATAATCAAGAAGTTCAGGACAAATATAACTTCAGTGTTGTCCATTTATCATACTGTTGTTCATCATAGAAAAAAAAAAGGCAACCACTTAAATAACTAGCAATAAGAAATCAGTTAAAGAACAATATTACCAAATAGTATGCACATAATGGGGCTGGCTCGTTAGCTCAGTTGGTTAGAGGACAACCTTATGACACCAAGGCCATGCATGGGTCTGGATCTCCAAACCAGCCAGCCACCAAAACAAAAACCAAATAGTATGCACCCATTTGAATAAAAAATATTGAATGACAGAAAAGATAAAAGTTAAAAAGACAGGCAAGAGTAAATTTTAACTCTGCTAATTACTGTATGATTTTGTACCATTTGACTAATCACTCAAGTCTTTTCTCTTCTGTAAAACTGGAAAAATGTATAACTTCACAGGGTTGTTGTGAAGATTCCATAAGAGATCATATGTAAAAGCACTAGTCTCCTTAGACTCCTGAATTCAGATCTTCTCTGAAGAAATAATATTTAAGCTGAGATCTTAAGGGTAAGTAGGTACAAGTATTAACAATTCCAAAGCAAAGATGGAGGTTCGAGGTGGAAGAGTCCATTCTAGGTAGGGGCACGGATTGGTGAAGGGCTGCTTAAAAGACTGCTTAGGAGACTATCCCAGATGGTTGGATCTGAGGGTGGCAAGGACAAGGATAGTAAGAGTGGAGAGAGTGATAATAGAGAGACATTTAGAAGTAGAATCCATAGGACTTGATTGTTGATTGGATACTCAGGAATTGAGAAGAGGGAGATGTCAAGGATGGTTTCCAGTTTTCGGCAGGCACAACAGGGTGGGTGGTGGTGCCATTTACAGAGATGGGTATTCCTGGAGAAAGAGCAGGTGTGGGAAGGAGGTGGAAATGATGAGTCAGTTTTGAACTGGCTGGGTTTGAAATACATACGGGCTATCCAAGTGGAGGCACAGTTAGTAGATTTATGGATCTGGAGCTCAGAAGAAAAGTCTAAGCTGGAGATAAAAATGTGGGAGAAAGCACAGACTGTACAGTATTCCTGAAGAACACCAATATCTAGGATAGGGACTGGAGGACCTAGTTGCGCAATGACACAGGAGGGACGCCAGGAAAGTGTGACATCACGTAAGCTAAGGGAATAGAATATTTGAAGGAAGTCACGCCTATCTTTCCCAGGTCAAATCCTTTTCCAAAGCCTTCAAAATGCCGAATGACGCAATCCCTCATTCTCAAAATGCATCCACAAGGAGGAGGGCAGGGAGCGCGTGACCAGACGGAGCTGAGGCGGGGGGAGCGTGGATAAGCGGGGCAGGCTCCCTTCGGCCCGGCTGGGAAGGAGTTCGAGGAGAGGGCTGCTCAGGCCACGCAGTTCGCGGCTGCCGCGGTGGGCCCGGCAGGACCGGTTCCTTTCAGGGGCCGTGGACCCCTACTTTTGGCGGCTGTCAAGGTCCGAGGGGAAACGAAGGGGTCGGTAACAAGCAGAGGTACTTACCATGTCTGGGACGTGGCAGGGATAGCAACGCGCTGACGATGCTCACGGGCTCAGGGGGTCGGGCCGGAATGGCGTCGTCGCCGGCCGAGGGGCGGGGCTTGGAGGGCCGACTACAACTCCCAGCATGCCCAGCAGCCTGACGTCAGGGGGCGTACCACACTGTCCTCGTCCACGGCTAGAGGGGCGGGGAGCCGATTTATGTTCCATAAATTCTGTTGGTTGCCTTTTGTATCCTGTAGACGCTCGTTAAGTCCTTCTGTGTGCTCTTCGAGGCGGACTCGAACTGTCCTCGTGTCCTCCAATAGGGGACTTGGAATGGATTCTCCCGTAGCCCGGGCAACGCATCCCAATAAACGCCAGCTGTGAGCGGGAGGTGCAGAGGCCCTTTGCAGAGGAGGCCTCCTGCGGGAAGTACTCGCTCAAGCTCGAGGGTGACTTGCAGCCTTTGTCGCTCCTGCAGCCGAGTTAACCCGGACTGGAGCTGGGACGATCTGATCTCGGTTGTCGGATCTGGTGCCCTTCGGAGAGGTGACTTGATCCCTTATAAGTGAGGGGGAGTATTGCCCCTTATATACCTGCCTACTGTTATAAAGAAAAATGTAACTTTAACCTGCACGCAACACCTACTACGAGCCTCCATTTCCATAATGGGAAATAATTTTTCTCATCACTTTAGCCAGAAGTTTTCTGCTACTCCTTCACCCCCCACGATACTTTGGATAAAAGCTTTCGAAGGGAACCTACCATATTCTACTTGTGTTATACTTTGTTTTCTTGTCTATTGGATTGTGAACTCTGGGGGGAGGGGGGGCAGGATCTATGCCATTGTTAAATCTGTTTTCCTAGCTTCTACTAGAGGTCCTTACCTGAAGGAGGGATTTGCAAAGTATCTGTTATTTATTTATTTATTTTTAATAATTTATTTTATTGATTGAATCAAAATCAATTATACATATTTTTGGGGTTGAACATTGAGATTTGTTGATTAACTCAGTACTACTGGCACATATATTTTTACAAATCGTAATTATTCTTTATCCCCCTTGTCCAACCTCTCCCCTTCCCCTATTCCCTCCCCCTCCCCCCTCTAATTGCCCTAGATTTCTTCTCTCCTTCTGAAAGAATAATAGTTACTCTGTTAACTTGTTGCCTAGATGATCTGTCAAATGCTGAGAGATGTGATCAGGTCCCCCAATATTATCACAGAACAGATGCTTCTTCTGTCATTCTGAAATGGGTTTTGTGGAGAGAGACATCCTCTTCTTTTCTTTGTCTCTGCTGGTGACCCTTCTTTTGTGAATGCACTCCAGTGGTTGGTGGACTATCTGCGTGGTGGCTGTGGCGTCTAGCCGCTTTTGCAGCAGCCATGGTTATTGTGGTGGCTGTGTTGGGCCACCCACGTGGAGTTGCTGTTTTTGGCATGCTCCTTGGCACTGGCAGTATGCCTGGTTGTGGGGTGTGTTTTGTCTCCTTCTCCATGCCTCTGGTCCCTGGGCAGAGACCAAGGCACTGGTGCCATGTGCCTGGTTGTGGGAGAGGGGTCCAGTCCCCTTCTCCATGTCTCGGGTCCCTGGGTGGGCCCTGAGGTACAGGCACAATATGCCTGGTTGTAAGAGAGCGGTCCATTCCCCTTCTCCTTGCCTCAGGTCCCCGGGTGGGCCCAAAGGTGCTGGCTTTTTGTGCCTGGTTGTGGGAGAGAGGTCCAGTCCCCTTCTCTATGCCTCAGGTCCCCGGGTGGGCCATGAAGTGTTGGCTCAGTATGCCTGGTTGTGGGAGAGAGTTCCATTCCCCTTCTCTTTGCCTTGGGTCCCCAGGCAGGCCCCAAGGTGCTGGCTTTTTGTGCCTGGTTGTGGGAGAGAGGTCCAGTCCCCTTCTCTTTGCCTTGGGTCCCTGGGTGGGCCATGAAGTGTTGGCTCAGTATGCCTGGTTGTGGGAGAGAGTTCCATTCCCCTTCTCTTTGCCTTGGGTCCCCAGGCAGGCCCCAAGGTGCTGGCTTTTTGTGCCTGGTTGTGGGAGAGAGGTCCAGTCCCCTTCTCCATGCCCTGGGTCCCCTGGTGGGCTCCGAGGTTCTGGCGTGGTGTACTTGGTTTTGGGAGGGGGGGTCCAGTCCTCTTCTCCATGCTTCAGGTCACCATGCTGGCCCCCATGCACTGGTACAGTTTGCCTGGAAGTGGGAGTGGGGTCCGGTCCCCAGATCCANCGGCAGGACCGGTTCCTTTCAGGGGCCGTGGACCCCTACTTTTGGCGGCTGTCAAGGTCCGAGGGGAAACGAAGGGGTCGGTAACAAGCAGAGGTACTTACCATGTCTGGGACGTGGCAGGGATAGCAACGCGCTGACGATGCTCACGGGCTCAGGGGGTCGGGCCGGAATGGCGTCGTCGCCGGCCGAGGGGCGGGGCTTGGAGGGCCGACTACAACTCCCAGCATGCCCAGCAGCCTGACGTCAGGGGGCGTACCACACTGTCCTCGTCCACGGCTAGAGGGGCGGGGAGCCGATTTATGTTCCATAAATTCTGTTGGTTGCCTTTTGTATCCTGTAGACGCTCGTTAAGTCCTTCTGTGTGCTCTTCGAGGCGGACTCGAACTGTCCTCGTGTCCTCCAATAGGGGACTTGGAATGGATTCTCCCGTAGCCCGGGCAACGCATCCCAATAAACGCCAGCTGTGAGCGGGAGGTGCAGAGGCCCTTTGCAGAGGAGGCCTCCTGCGGGAAGTACTCGCTCAAGCTCGAGGGTGACTTGCAGCCTTTGTCGCTCCTGCAGCCGAGTTAACCCGGACTGGAGCTGGGACGATCTGATCTCGGTTGTCGGATCTGGTGCCCTTCGGAGAGGTGACTTGATCCCTTATAAGTGAGGGGGAGTATTGCCCCTTATATACCTGCCTACTGTTATAAAGAAAAATGTAACTTTAACCTGCACGCAACACCTACTACGAGCCTCCATTTCCATAATGGGAAATAATTTTTCTCATCACTTTAGCCAGAAGTTTTCTGCTCCTCCTTCACCCCCCACGATACTTTGGATAAAAGCTTTCGAAGGGAACCTACCATATTCTACTTGTGTTATACTTTGTTTTCTTGTCTATTGGATTGTGAACTCTGGGGGGAGGGGGGGCAGGATCTATGCCATTGTTAAATCTGTTTTCCTAGCTTCTACTAGAGGTCCTTACCTGAAGGAGGGCAAAGTATCTGTTATTTATTTATTTATTTTTAATAATTTATTTTATTGATTCAATCAAAATCAATTATACATATTTTTGGGGTTGAACATTGAGATATGTTGATTAACTCAGTACTACTGGCACATATATTGTTACAAATCGTAATTATTCTTTATCCCCCTTGTCCAACCTCTCCCCTTCCCCTATTCCCTCCCCCTCCCCCCTCTAATTGCCCTAGATTTCTTCTCTCCTTCTGAAAGAATAATAGTTACTCTGTTAACTTGTTGCCTAGATGATCTGTCCAATGCTGTGATCAGGTCCCTGAATATTATCATAGAGCAGATGCTTCTTCTGTCACTCTGAAACGGGTTTGTGGAAAGAGACATCTTCTTCTTTTCTCTGTCTTTGCTGGTGACTTTTCTTGTGTGAATGCACTCCAGTGGTTGGTGGACTGTCTGCGTGGTGGCTGTGGCGTCCAGCTGCTTTTGCAGCAGCCATGGTTATTGTGGTGGCTGTGGTGGGCCAC